AGTGGACGATGTTAAGTGTAGTGGACAATGTTAAGTGTAGTGGACGATGTTAAGTGGACGATGTTAAGTGTGGTGGACGGTGTTAAGTGTAGTGGACAATGTTAAGTGTAGTGGACAATGTTAAGTGTAGTGGACAATGTTAAGTGTAGTGGACAATGTTAAGTGTAGTGGACGATGTTAAGTGTAGTGGACGATGTTAAGTGTAGTGGACGATGTTAAGTGTAGTGGACAATGTTAAGTGTAGTGGACAATGTTAAGTGTAGTGGACAATGTTAAGTGTAGTGGACAATGTTAAGTGTAGTGGACAATGTTAAGTGTAGTGGACGATGTTAAGTGTAGTGGACGATGTTAAGTGGACGATGTTAAGGATAGTGGACAATGGTAAGTGTAGTGGACGATGTTAAGTGTAGTGGACAATGTTAAGTGTAGTGGACAATGTTAAGTGTAGTGGACAATGTTAAGTGTAGTGGACAATGTTAAGTGTAGTGGACAATGTTAAGTGTAGTGGACAATGTTAAGTGTAGTGGACAATGTTAAGTGTAGTGGACGATGTTAAGTGTAGTGGACAATGTTAAGTGTAGTGGACGATGTTAAGTGTAGTGGACGATGTTAAGTGTAGTGGACAATGTTAAGTGTAGTGGACGGTGTTAAGTGTAGTGGACAATGTTAAGTGTAGTGAACAATGTTAAGTGAACAATGTTAAGTGTAGTGGACAATGTTAAGTGTAGTGGACGATGTTAAGTGTAGTGGACAATGTTAAGTGTAGTGGACAATGTTAAGTGTAGTGGACGATGTTAAGTGCAGTGGACAATGTTAAGTGTAGTGAACAATGTTAAGTGTGTTAGTGGGCGATGTGTGACGATGTTAAGTGTAGTGGACAATGTTAAGTGTAGTGGACAATGTTAAGTGTAGTGGAGATGTTAAGTGTACAGTTGACGATGTTAGGTGTAGTGGACAATGTTAAGTGTAGTGGACAATGTTAAGTGTAGTGTTAAGTGTACAATGTTAAGTGTAGTGGACAATGTTAAGTGTAGTGGACAATGTTAAGTGTAGTGGACAATGTTAAGTGTAGTGGACAATGTTAAGGATAGTCGACAATGTTAAGTGTAGTGGACGATGTTAAGTGTAGTGGACAATGTTAAGTGTAGTGGACAATGTTAAGTGTAGTGGACGATGTTAAGTGTAGTGGACAATGTTAAGTGTAGTGGACAATGTTAAGTGTAGTGGACAATGTTAAGTGTAGTGGACAATGTTAAGTGTAGTGGACGATGTTAAGTGTAGTGGACGATGTTAAGTGTAGTGGACAATGTTAAGTGTAGTGGACAATGTTAAGTGTAGTGGACGATGTTAAGTGTAGTGGACAATGTTAAGTGTAGTGGACAATGTTAAGTGTAGTGGACAATGAGTAGTGGACAATGTTAAGTGTAGTGGACGATGAGTAGTGGACGATGTTAAGTGTAGTGGACAATGAGTAGTGGACAATGTTAAGTGTAGTGGACGATGTTAAGTGTAGTGGACAATGTTAAGTGTAGTGGACAATGTTAAGTGTAGTGGACAATGTTAAGTGTAGTGGACAATGTTAAGTGTAGTGGACGATGTTAAGTGTAGTGGACAATGTTAAGTGTTGTGGACAATGTTAAGTGTAGTGGACAATGAGGAGTGGACAATGTTAAGTGTAGTGGACGATGTTTAAAGTAGTGGACAATGTTAAGTGGACAATGTTAAGTGTAGTGGACAATGTTAAGTGTAGTGGACGATGTTAAGTGTAGTGGACAATGTGTTAAGTGTAGTGGACAATGTTAAGTGTAGTGGACAATGAGTAGTGGACGATGTTAAGTGTAGTGGACGATGTTAAGTGTAGTGGACGATGAGTAGTGGACAATGTAAAGTGTAGTGGACAATGTTAAGTGTAGTGAACAATGTTAAGTGTAGTGGACAATGTTAAGTGTAGTGGACGATGAGTAGTGGACGATGTTAAGTGTAGTGGACAATGTTAAGTGTAGTGGACAATGTTAAGTGTGGTGGACGGTGTTAAGTGTAGTGGACAATGTTAAGTGTAGTGGACAATGTTAAGTGTAGTGGACAATGTTAAGTGTAGTGGACAATGTAAAGTGTAGTGGACGATGTTAAGTGTAGTTGACAATGTTAAGTGTAGTGGACAATGTAAAGTGTAGTGGACGATGTTAAGTGTAGTTGACAATGTTAAGTGTAGTGGACAATGTTAAGTGTAGTGGACAATGTTAAATGTTAAGTGTAGTTGACAATGTTAGTGTGGTGGAGTGTAGTGGACGATGTTAAGTGTAGTGGACAATGTTAAGTGTGGTGGACGGTGTTAAGTGTAGTGGACAATGTTAAGTGTAGTGGACAATGTTAAGTGTGGTGGACGGTGTTAAGTGTAGTGGACAATGTTAAGTGTAGTGGACAATGTTAAGTGTAGTGGACAATGTTAAGTGTAGTGGACAATGTTAAGTGTAGTGGAGAATGTTAAGTGTAGTGGACGATGTTAAGTGTAGTGGACAATGTTAAGTGTAGTGGACAATGTTAAGTGTAGTGGACAATGTTAAGTGTAGTGGACAATGTTAAGTGTAGTGGACTATGTTAAGTGTAGTGGACAATGTTAAGTGTAGTGGACAATGTTAAGTGTAGTGGACAATGTTAAGTGTAGTGGACAATGTTAAGTGTATAGGACGATGTTAAGTGTAGTGGACAATGTTAAGTGTGTTAAGCAGTGGACAATGTTTAGTGTAGTGGACAATGTTAAGTGTAGTGGACAATGTTAAGTGTAGTGGACAATGTTAAGTGTAGTGGACAATGTTAAGTGTAGTGGACAATGTTAAGTGTAGTGGACAATGTTAAGTGTAGTGGACAATGTTAAGGATAGTCGACAATGTTAAGTGTAGTGGACGATGTTAAGTGTAGTGGACGATGTTAAGTGTGATGGACAATGTTAAGTGTGATGAACAATGTTAAGTGTAGTGGACAATGTTAAGTGTGGTGGACGGTGTTAAGTGTAGTGGACAATGTTAAGTGTAGTGGACAATGTTAAGTGTAGTGGACAATGTTAAGTGTAGTGGACAATGTTAAGTGTAGTGGACAATGTTAAGTGTAGTGGACGATGTTAAGTGTAGTGGACGATGTTAAGTGTAGTGGACAATGTTAAGTGTGGTGGACGATGTTAAGTGTAGTGGACGATGTTAAGTGTAGTGGACGATAAGTAGTGGACAATGTTAAGTGCAGTGGACAATGTTAAGTGTAGTGGACGATGTTAAGTGTAGTGGACGATGTTAAGTGTAGTGGACAATGTTAAGTGTAGTGGACGATGTTAAGTGTAGTGGACAATGTTAAGTGTAGTGGACGATGTTAAGTGTAGTGGACGATGTTAAGTGTAGTGCGACCCGATTACGAGGAAGTTAAAAACCTTTGACAGGTGTAGGAATGATTTAGTAGCTGTTGTCCAATACTGGTACCCAAAACCAAGTCTGAAAGCAGACTTAAAATCTATAAATTACCTTATTTGTAGAGTAAATTTAAAGAAAAAATTTGATAAATCAGAAAATATGCTAACATGGCGGTATTTTTTTTAGAGTTGATAGTTTTCCGCGAAGAAAACTGAAATTAGCCGTCGGAGAATTTTCTTTCTGAAATGTAATTAATAATTTTAAAAAAATGGAAGGTATACTTAAGGTTTCATTGTCAGTTTTCAAGACTTGTGCAGATATATCATCATTTCCAGTAGACTTTTAAAGCTTAATTTTGATTTGACGAAGTAACTTCATTTGAAAGATATCATTATTATTACATTCTTAACGGCCCGTCAACACACACAATGTAATTAGGGCCATCAAACGGTAAAACACACAGCGATCCAAAAAGGAAATCACATCAAACAAACTAAAAGGTAAAAGACAAATGCTACAAATTTTAAATGGTTGTTTTATCACAAAAGATTAAAATGGTAAGTCATAGTCAGACAGACCAACATCCTTCAGATAACCTAGATTTGTATTAATCTCAACAGTTTCAGAAAGGATCTTTAGACCTGTAATGTTACGATAAAGATTTCTTGAGTAGACAGAAGGTCAATGCAGTCCAATAAAAAAACGTTTAACGGTGAATGGCTCATCACATCCTATGCGCCGAGGGTTATCTTCACCTTTCAACATATATGAATGTGTAAGGTATGCTTGGCCCATCCGAAGACGGGCAAGGACAACTTCGTCTCGGTGATTGTCTCTATAACATGGATACCAGGCACCGATGATAGGTTTAACGGAGTGCAATTTATTGTTAGTATATAGATTCCAGTCTTCCTGCAACTGAGCTATTAAAAGTTTTTTGATTAAATACTGTACAGACTTCCTTATGGTTAAATGTAATGCAGTCATTTTCCTGCTGTTCAGTGTGTTTCTCTTACTTGCGCTTTCATATACTCGTTTAAAAAATTGTAACGGTGGGTCAAATAGCTAACGAGTTTGATCCACCACCGCGCTGAATAGAACTTATCTCGCCTGATGATTCTCAATGAGAAAAAGAAATGAATAATTAAGAACATTCCGTCAAACATGCGACAAAAATCGTGTTGAAGACATTTTGAACACTCAATTAAGTACAATTGGATAGGCTTCCATAATGTTTTCATGGTTTTACGAACACTGCGTCATAGTTATACATAGCGATTGTAAATTATAACTTGATATTGACATGTTACATGTTCCGGTTCGAACAAGTATGCGTGTGTTGAGTACAAGAAAACCGTGAAAAACGTCATCGATCATTGTACACATATACACATGTACAGTCCAGTTTCTGTCTGCCAACTAGGCTAACAAACTGACAAACACAAGATGGTCTGTGTTATCGGTGGAAAAGACGGTGAATGTTAATTTGCGATCAAAGCAGACTTATTTTTTGATTCCAGGGCACAACTTGCCTAGCATATGCATAAAATCCGAAGTGTCTCGCATGTCAATGCGTAAATATTCAGCATAACACTGTCAACAATGAAAAAGTACGTCGCGGTATGGGGTGGAATGTTTTTTATCGTGGCCAGCGTGTCTCTGTATCTAATGATGGAAGCTGTATCCACAAATACTAGTTCAAGGTCGCCTGATATGTTACAATCTGTAAGTAATCGTCTACAGTCACAATATGTACAATGTGCTGTTGATTGGAAGTTTGAGGAGGTTGGGGGGGGGGGGGGGGGGTTAGAAAAAAAATGTTATACAATGTATGTTTGTGCTGTATCAATAAAACCTACCAATTCATTCTACATTTTATGGGAATCAGTGAAAGTTAACATGAATGATTAGATGAAAGTATCAAGGACCTCATGAGCTTAATGTTGATATCTCCTTCCCCATCCCTTCACTCCGACTGACAGGCAAATGGTAAACTATCCTACAAGTATACTGTGCCATGAAGATGATAAATTTATAATGCTACTAGGCCTAGTATATTTTTAACCTGATTGAACCATTCACATACCAATAATACATCATGTATCCTACTTGCTGATTTGCTCACCTCATAGCATAGGATTAGTTATATTAACTGATATATAAGGTACTGCATATTAGTGAAATATTAATGTAATTGGGAGTATTGAAAGAAATAAAAATTTATAGTAAAAAATTATCTGAATTAAGAAATTATCATGATAATAAATAAGAATTATTTATATGTTTTATCATGATCTAACATTTGATTTGGTGCACACAGAAACTTTTAATCTTCATTTTTGCTACCAATATAGAATTTTTCGTTGACCTGATTAGAGTAATATTACAATGTGCTGTAAGAAGCCCATTAAGTGAAAAGTTGCCCCTTATTGTTGCAGGATAGATATGTTTTTCATGTAAAATTTAATATGCATTCCTTACACAGCATGAAGTTGACACCAAAATACAGAGAATTAAGGCGCAGATTCAACGTAACCAAGATACAATCAAAGATATCAAGAATCTAGTAGGACAACTGTCTAAAGATGGTGACAAAGAAACGCTACAAAAACTACAGAAAGTTCTGTCTGAGGTTGATACGGACGTGAAGGCAGTGAATTTACCAAAAACAAAAGAGGCAGCTAAGGGTTGGCTACAAGGTTTGATTGGTGGTGGTTCTGAAAAAGAGCCTGTTTATCAGAAACCACGAGGGGAGGTTACTGTGTCAGGAGAAGTGTGTAAACTGGCAGAGGCACCAAATGTTGACTCTGATGTAAAGGTGAGTACAGTATTTTAAATTTCGCTGAGATTTTGTCATGCAATAAAAATTTACAGAGATAATTTTGCCAGTCAAACATCTCAAAACAACCTTTATAGTTAATTACATAAATATATATTATTTTCCCCAAATGTCCTGAAAAATCTTTAATTCCTCCAAACATCTGATGAAATATGTAATAGCTTGAATTTACAGTTCATGCAGGAACATATTGTTAAAACTTCGCCAAAAATCACCTGAAGAGAGTGAAATAAAAGTTGTAGGTATACACATAACAGTATTAGAAAAGTAAGTGGTTGATTTCCACAGACACTACGACTGATGGACATGTTGTCTTTTGATAATCCTGATGGAGGTGTTTGGAAACAGGGCTGGCCCATCACCTACCCACCAAATAAGTGGGGTGGAGAAAAGAAGCTTTTTGTGTTTGTGGTGCCTCACTCTCACAACGATCCTGGTAAGTGGAATGAATATGTGGTGACAGGAAGTAAAGTTGTTTTTAGCATTGGGAAGTTGAATGTGTGGTAAATGAAAATCATATGATGACAGAAAGTGTGTGTGGTAACAGAAAGTGTGTGTGGTAACAGAAAGTGTGTGTGGTACCAGGAAGTGTGTGTGGTAACAGGAAGTGTGTGTGATAACAGGAAGTGTGTGGTAACAGGAAGATTTTGTGGTGACAGGATGTTGTGGTGATTATTTTCTTTGTGGTGTGATTTATAATTGAGTATAGACTCAGTATTATACACTTTACAGGCTGAATATTGTATGTTATATACATTTTGTAATATATTACACACTGGAATATATATATACATGTAATATATTACTGACTCAATGTTATATAGTATATATGGTATATTACAGGCTGGGTGAAGACGTTTGATGATTACTACCAGGGCCAGGTGAGACAACTCCTTGACAACATGGTCAACAAACTGGAAGAGGATCCAAGAAGAAAGTTCATCGAGACCGAAATGTCTTTCTTTTCTACCTGGTGGCATGACATCACACAGGATAAACGTAAACGGGTGAAAAGGTAAAATCATTGAATTTTACAAAACAGGTCAAAGGTCAAATCTTTGAATGTTACAAAATAGGTAAAATGTCAGATTTTTGAATGTTACAAAATGTTCAGCAGTCATATCTGTCATTGTTATAAACCAGGTCAAAGGTCGTATCATCGAATGTTGCAAAACAACAGGCGGTCTAAGGTAATTTCATGGACTTTTAAAAAAGGTCATAGGCAATATCAGTGAGTTTTACAAACCAGGTCAAAGGTCATACTGAATGTCACATTGAACGAGTCAAAGGTCATGTCATCTAATTTAATGAAACAGGTCAAAGGCCATATCATTGAATGTTACAGAAGAGGTTTAAGGTAATATAATTTCATGCATTTAATTTAAAATTTAGAGAAGGATTCTTTATTTCAGAGGTCAAAAAGATCATGTCTGACTTCAATTATTGATAATGAACATTCAATTCCCTTCATAGAAATTTGGACATTTCTGAAACTTCTGTTGTTGAATAGTTCTGCAATCAGGTTCCGTTATGTAATTTTGTATGGAAAGCATATTACGGTAATGTCATTTACATACAAGAGCACAAAATTTGATACTGTATGCAAGGAAAATTGGCCCAGGGTTTCTTTTGCCGTCACATGAAAGTGGTTATTTCCATCTTTGCGATAAATTTGCATAGAAAACCTAAAAAAAAATGTATTGCAGCTTTAGCATTAAACTTGCCCCAGCATTTTTTTTACCTTTTGGCAAAAGGATAAAATGTGTAAAAGTTAAACTGCAGCAAAACATTTCCTGTATAAGTTATATCAGACAAAACTGTAAAACTTAACTTGTTTTTTTTTTTTTATACAAAGTCCATTGTTAAACACAGAGTTCTGTTTAAGATCAAGTAAAAATTGAACATCACTCTTTTTGTTGTTCCAATTTAAACTGTTTTTGTTTGGTTTACAGACTGGTAGACAATGGACAGTTAGAGATAACAACAGGAGGCTGGGTCATGTCTGACGAGGCCAATGCGCATTATGCAGCTATTGTGGATCAGCTGATCGAAGGCAACCAATGGGCACACAATATTCTAGGTGAGATTGAAAACCTGTCAGCAAACTGTGTTGCTACTATGTAAGTCAGCCAATATAATGTCTACATGTTACAGATATTTCCATGTAGGTAACAGGTAAGTTGTATAATTTGTCGACCAAAGTAATGTATTAACCTCAAGTGTATCATAGTTATAGATATGGCAAGGAGATGTAGGTAGTCTGATTTCATTTAATAATGTTGAAATAAAAACAAAAAATTGTGTGAATTACAGGTGTAGAACCAAAGTCTGGTTGGGCCATTGACCCGTTTGGCCACTCTCCAACCATGGCTTACCTATTGAAGAGAGCAGGACTCCATAACATGTTAATCCAACGGGTCCATTATGCCGTCAAGAAAAAACTCGCCAAAGACAAGCAGCTGGAGTTTATGTGGAGGCAACATTGGGGTAAGTGTCACTGACATATTTGACTTGTTTCTCGTACATAAGACAGGGTAATCTCAATGTCATATTTGTCTGTCTCGTCTGATCTGTTGGTACTTGTATGCAATATTGACATCATGGGTACCATGATTAAAATCATGGGTTATCAGGTGCACTTGTTCGTTTCCTGGAATGGATGTGAACTGGTACGGGGTCACCTGCCCATCCATGTGGGCTTTCTCAGGGTACTTCAGTTTCCTCCCACACTAAGACCCCTTGCGCGCTTCCATCCACGCCAACAAGAGTGATTAATATCAGTTGGAAAAGCTTGCTTTGCAATTGTGGTAAAATAAATAAAGTTTATTATTATTATTAAAATGATGTCATATGTTATTGTCTTTTGGACAATAGAATCAGAAAGGGAGATAACGTAATCAGAGAATTTGGAAATGAAACAAATTAAGAATGTTTTATGTAGTTTTAACAAGGGTGTGTAGATGAAAGAGGATGTTCCTAGTCAGTTTATCTCAGACTGGTTGTGACAGTCTGTCACATCTCATTGTCAGCTTGCATGGAATGAGATTTTAACAAAATTTTTTCTTAGATTATATGAAATAATCCTGAATATATACAGGTGACAGAATATGACAGAAGTCATCGCTGCGTGAAAACTTTATTTGTATGTCTCTGATCTGATATAGATGAAAGGAATACACTTAATCTCTTTATCTGTTACACATCACACTCATTAAAACTCGGATTGGAATGATTTTACGATATTATTTGTTAATATAGATGTATAGGTGATTCATTTTTGCTATGGAGTTAAATTTTGACCAAACTATTAATTGTTTCAAGCGTATGAATTATTGAGGCCAAGATATTGTTCTGGTATATCTCTGTGAAAATACAATGATTTTCTGTCATAATTGTAGATATTATATTAAAGGAAAGACAACTCTTTTCTTTACATTGTAGAAAGACCTCTTTTCTTTACATTGTAGACCGAGAGGGTACCACAGACATGATGTGTCACATGATGCCATTTTACTCATATGATGTGCCCCATACGTGTGGTCCTGACCCGAAGATCTGCTGTCAATTTGACTTTGCTAGGATGTCACCAAGTCGATACAATTGTCCATGGAAAGTGGCTCCAACAGCAATCACCAGCCACAATGTAGCGGAGAGGTAAGAATGGTTCAACCAGTTTTCTGACAAGTACACAGCTAGAAGTATTTAAATTTATTGTTTTAGGTTTAGATTTAAATTTATTGATTTAAAATCATGCTACATTTGTTATTTGTGACAGCTTTTCCTTAAGCCTGACATAGAAATTATCTTTATGAGCTAGATGCATTCTTTATGTATAAAGATGGTATTGAAGGATTGAATAAAATTTGAAAAAAGAAAGAAAAAATGTTGAGAAATATTTAATTGATATTGAGATGAAGAGTACATTTTATGAATGTTATGAAAAGTGCCTCCTTCCTGCTTCCAGCATTTGGTGAAACCATGAAAATTTGAGCAATCAAAAAAGTTAGCCTTGACTGTTTCCTATTTTCTCTGAGAATTCAATCAAACACTCTGAATATAAGTTTTAGGTGAAGAATGTTGGATGAATGATAACCTACATTTCCAAATTTAATAAACTTTAGAAAAAATTTATTATAAAATGTTTTGTTGATTAATTAAGTATTGGATGAAAGATGTAACCATTTTGACATCTAGGCATTTCTCAGTAAAGTACCATTACGTCTCTGATATCTACCATTATGTTCATTTTCAGAGCCAAAACATTGTTAGACCAGTACCGTAAAAAGTCGGAGCTGTACCGTACAGATGTTTTGTTGATCCCACTTGGGGATGATTTCCGGTATGACAAGGAGGATGAGTGTGAACGACAATTCAGCAACTATCAAAAACTGTTTGATTACATGAATTCTTCACCTGAGTTGGGAGTACAGGTAATTTTAACAGCAAGACATGTACATAATGCTGTTTTTCAGGGAGCTGCAATATCTTCATGAGTAGAACATCAGACTTTACAGCCTCAGGTGTATATAACCCTGGTAAAATACTAGCCGCAATATACCACTCGGCTAGAGAGGACTTCTCTTTAGCTCGATTGGTTGAGTGTCAGACTAGTAAGCCAGGGGTCTTGGGTTTGATTCCTAATGGAGGCATTGAAATAAATAATGACCTCTGTTACATTGGCGCCCGTGTAGGGACCGGGGAATAGTACTTAGCCATGCCCCACCAGCATTACTGTAATCCCTGGAAAATTGAGGACAAGTTATTTCCTGGAGGGGGAGTATGTAACCCTGGTAAAATACTAGCCGCAATATATCACTCGGCTATCGAGAGCTCGATTGGTTGAGCGTCAGACTAGTAAGTCAGGGGTCCCGGGTTCAATTCCTAGCGGAGGCATTGATATAAATAATGACCTCTTATACAGATCTACAGATCTGGGATGTGTGGTTCCATGCTCTAAAGCTGTGGAGTCAGATGCTGCTATAGTGGTGTTCTTAAGAAAGACACTCAATGAAAATTGCTCTTGATAACATGTGACAGAGTTACTCTATGTTATTCAGTGAGGTAGCCATAAGCTCCTTTTGTAAATCCAGAAATCAAGAAATCTTCCTGGATTCAAAATAGTTTGTGTGCATACGCACTTATCAACAAATAAGCCCTCTGTTTATATTCTCGGAGATTCATAATTTTAAAACGTTAACTTTAAAGTGGTTTACAAATAACCATCCCCAACTATTCTGTGGATCAATTCGGTCTTTTAAAGCTATATATATTGTATATATGGAAAAGTTTTGCCAAAGTTTCTTTCGTCCTCCTGTAAAACTGTTCATTTTCACACAGTGTTCAGTTTGCTGTAGTTGCTTCTAAAACCCATCTATTTCAGCTATAACATCAAACTTTAGCCCACCTGTTCTTTTTTCCAAATGGGTGAAATGTTTACCTGTATACAGTAGATACAAGTAGTCTTTTCCACAAAGTTTAGATACATACAACACAGGCAGTCTACATTAAATCTTCACATATATTGACAAACCTGCCTGTATTCTAGAAATACATATTATCTTGAATTACTGATAAATATGAAATGTGATGGTGGTATAAGTAATATTCTACCTAAGCTACATTGTGTCTAATAATCTTTTCCAGTGTCAGTTTGGTACTTTGTCTGATTATTTCAACAAAGTTTATGAGCTGTCTGAGGTGGAACAGGGTACACGTCCCGAGGACTTCCCTGTGCTGGCTGGAGACTTCTTCACCTACTCTGACCGTGATGACCACTACTGGAGCGGTTACTACACGTCTCGTCCATTTTACAAAAGCCTTGACAGACTTATGGAATATCATGTTAGGTAAGTTAGCATTTGTATATAACTCTACTCAAGAAGCTGATTACAAACATGGCTATAATGCATGATTTTATATGAGATGTTCTAATTGGTCAACAGAAGGAGCGATATATTTACATGATTTTTTGTTGTGAATTTGGTATAATTGCTTGTGTTTAGAGGTATAATTGCTTGTGTTTAGAGGTATAATTGCTTGTGTTTAGAGGTATAATTGCTTGTGTTTAGGTATAATTGCTTGTGTTTAGAGGTATGATTGCTTGTGTTTAGAGGTATAATTGCTTGTGTTTAGGTATAATTGCTTGTGTTTAGAGGTATAATTGCTTGTGTTTAGAGGTATAATTGCTTGTGTTTAGAGGTATAATTGCTTGTGTTAAGGTATAATTACTTGTGTTTAGAGGTATACTTGCTTGTGTTTAGAGGTATAATTGCTTGTGTTTAGAGGTATACTTGCTTGTGTTTAGAGGTATAATTGCTTGTGTTTAGAGGTATAATTGCTTGTGTTTAGAGGTATGATTGCTTGTATTTAGAGGTATAATTGCTTGTGTTTAGGTATAATTGCTAGTGTTTAGGTATACTTACTTGTGTTTAGAGGTATCATTGCTTGTGTTTAGGTATAATTGCTTGTGTTTAGGTATAATTGCTTGTGTTTAAAGGTATGATTGCTTGTGTTTAGAGGTATAATTGCTTGTGTTTAGAGGTATAATTGCTTGTGTTTAGAGGTATGATTGCTTGTGTTTAGAGGTATAATTGCTTGTGTTTAGAGGTATAATTGCTTGTGTTTAGAGGTATAATTACTTGTGTTTAGGTATAATTGCTTGTGTTTAGAGGTATGATTGCTTGTATTTAGAGGTATAATTGCTTGTGTTTAGAGGTATACTTGCTTGTGTTTAGAGGTATAATTGCTTGTGTTTAGAGGTATAATTGCTTGTGTTTAGGTATAATTGCTTGTGTTTAAAGGTATGATTGCTTGTGTTTAGAGGTATAATTGCTTGTGTTTAGGTATAATTGCTTGTGTTTAGAGGTATAATTGCTTGTGTTTAAGGTATAATTACTTGTGTTTAGAGGTTTAATTGCTTGTGTTTAGAGGTATAATTGCTTGTGTTTAGGTATAATTGCTTGTGTTTAGGTACAATTGCTTGTATTTAGAGGTATAATTGCTTGTGTTTAGGTATAATTGCTTGTGTTTAGGTACAATTGCTTGTGTTTAGGTATAATTGCTTGTGTTTAGAGGTATAATTGCTTGTGTTTAGAGGTATAATTGCTTGTGTTAAGAGGTGGCCTTTATAGCAGAGGTGTTTCTTACATAGGGATGTTCTGTATAGACGGGTATTTGATATATGGATGTGGTCTGTATAGACAGGTATTTGTCATATGAATGTGGTCTTTATAGACAGGTATTTGTCTTATGAATGTGGTCTTTATAGACAGGTGTTTGTTGTATAGAGGAGGTATTTGTGGGACTTTTAGGTATATCTTAATTGTGAAAATTCAGTCGATAACTATTTACTAATTATCTTTCAGAGCTGCTGAAGTTATCTTCACATTGGCCCTTAGTTACAGTCGCCAAGCAAGTGTAACAAACTTCCCTCAGGAAAAGTTAATGGAGAAACTGGTGGGAGCCCGTCGTAATCTTGGCCTGTACCAACATCACGATGGTATAACTGGCACTGCTAAAGATTTTGTTGTGGTGGACTATGGGGAGAGGTAAGATATTCCTAAATTAGGATTATAGGAATTTGATGGTCAGGTGATGCTTTAAATAGGACTAAGATGGACCTCCTGATTCTCTCATTACACGGGTTGGTATCACATCTCAAAGTGTCCAAGGGCATCCTTTCATATTTAGCTAATACAGCATGCAACTGTCCTTGCCTACATATTCAATTCATTTTGATTACGGATTGGATTATGTATGTATTGGGGACAACTGTGAATAATGCTTGAGGTGATGACAGGGGATTCATTACTGTGAGCTAAATTCTTACAGAGAAATGATGAATGTTTTAGCTGAATAAACTTTCCAATAAATAAATAAAGATATGATGAAATATATTTTGAATGATGTCAGTTTAAATGAAGACTATTTCTGTTTTGTAGGATGTTGAAGGGTGTGATGGATTGTAAGTCTATCATTGTGGAGGCAGCCAGTTTCCTGATGTTGGAGAATAAAAATGACTACAAGTATCCGAAGGAGCCTCTGTTTAATATGGTGATTATGTATACAAAAATATCCCAGCATGCACATAGATCACATCACGGGCAGAAAACAGTTACAAGTTGATTAATCAGCAGATTAAAAAGACTGAAATTAAAGTAATTGAATGATACAGTTACCTTTAAACATTCTGTACATATTACCAGGTAAATGTATTTGAACATAAGACACAAAGAAATGATAAAAATGTCATACTGTGGATTCATTTTATTTCGTGGGGGTCCAATTTTCGTTGTTTTCGTGGATGAGCAAATCCACGAATTTAAAAACACAACGAAATATGAACTACTTACTAAAGTAATTTTGAAATTTGACCAAGTAATCTTTGCCAACACCGGAAACGTCCACCGGTAATGACAGAAGCCCCGTAATTAGTCGGGAGTCGGGTAGTCTGAGGCTCGACATGGATACGCTAAATTGGTGTCAACGATATATAATTATATATTATTAAACATAACAAAGGGTAAGTACCCATTGTGATGCTAAGTATGATGGGATCGCAGTCGTTAGCGACACTGTGGACACTAGGCTTGATCGGACCATCCTGTCGATTGAAGATTGGATCCGTATTTCTATCCGACTACAGGTTCACAATAATTATTAATAATGCAGATCTTGTTTACACACCTGTTTACACACATGGTCCAATCGATACGCGTGGTGTTTTCATATGACTGCGGTACACCGACTGATCAGCACACAATGTTTATCCACTGAAAACAATTGTTTCTGATAATTACCGATTGATTACACGCCAGGATATATACTGATTTGTGGTTTGATATTAATGCGAGACTGTTGTAAACAGCGTTATAAAAACACAGGACGCCATCTTGAAAAAAAACGTTCTTTTATTCTTGTCTTAGCCTTAATACAAACAGAAAAAAATTCGACTGGAAGCAAAAAGAGAAAATTCTAACGTTTTTATTTTTTTCCCACAGAATAAAAAATCCACGAATTTATGAGTCCACGAAACTGTCTAATTTGTAGAAACAACGAAAATTGAACCCAACGAAAATAAATGAATCCACAGTAAATGATTATCCCCTATGAAACACATTTGTTCGGGCTCTGTCCGTCTGGGCATCCATCTGTGCATGTGTCCATGTGTTTGTGCTTCCATACATCCATCCGAGGGCTTTTCTAGGTTACAACTTTAAACCAGTTCAACTCAGTTTCACGATGCCTTAGTGCCCTAGTTGTGCCTTTTGCTATTGATGACATTTCATTTCTAAAAAAGAATTCTGTTACCATGGAAACATAGGCAAAAAAACATAAAATTAATGTTAATTTTTCTTTCTGGGCTACAAATTTAAAACTGGCCCACAAAGCTTTCTGTATACATTAGATTAGTGCCCTAGTTGTGCCTTTTTTATTGAGGACATTTTATTATTTTTTCTGTTACTATCAATTTTTTTTCGATTTTTTTGACTTCTTTGTTCATGGACAATACCAAGCTCTATGCAAATATCAGCAGTCAAACCCACAGAATCTACATCAAGATATATACTCTTACTATAATGTTGATACTGTAAAACGAGAAGTTTTCGGGCTCGTTTAATATTAGCAATTTTTGCGCATAGCCATCAAAATGCTAGATATATATGATCACAAATTGTTATACAGGTATATATATCATATTTAGATTTTACACCAACAGCTGGGTGTTGGGGATAATGCCATGCATTGTGGCTCCTTGATTTATTTTATTTTTAGAATATGCATTGATAATGTAAACATATTTATTTTGATGCATAACTTAATTAACACAATTACCACAATAATTACTGTAGAATATATAGCAGAAACTACAACTAGCTCAATATTGATTTAGCATCATTTGTTCAGTGTAAACTGGGGAAAATTAAGATTACAGATAAAGTATGTTCATTAACAGCTGAAGCAGATTTTTAAGAAGCAGGTTGAGTTTTAGTTTGTTAGGGTTACAATAAATGGATGTCTTTGTTAATGAATGAAAATATTCATCATATGGTAGTTGTGATGCTAGCTTGTCATGTGTTCTCTGATGTATCTAACAAGTTAACTGTTACAGTGAATATCTTATTCTTCTCTCACATGTTTACTACTTCTATCATTTTACAGAATGTGTACCAAGTTTATATTTTTTTAATGTTTTTTATTTTTGCAAGATTTTTACATCAAAATATACAAAAGGATTTGGTGATAGAGCCAACGCCGTTCAGGTCCTAGGTAGAATAGAGGATTCGTTTACTTCTCCGCTAGATACCAGGAAGTGTGCACGGTGATTACGCAGTAGGGAAAATCAGGGGTCAGGTCCTGATGAAGCCCGGAGAGGGCAGAACTAGTTGAGAGTTCAAAATAAATCCATATCAACTTACTCAAAGCTGTTGTGATTGATTCCCGAACTTAGAAATATACATAAGACACATTCGTACACCTCATATACACTAGAATACATCAAAACATCATCATTTCATAAATTATCATCATCATTATTAACCTATATACAAAGTTAATTACCAGTCTAAAAATAGACATATATTGAGATATTTGATCATTGTTTAAGTATTTCTGTTGATTAACCAGGATGAAGACAGGAAATATCATGACTCATTACCTGAGAGGACGGTATTGGATGTTACTGAGGTTTCCAGGTATGTACACCTGTGTTTATATGTATGTGTGTAAATAACAGTCTCTAATAACATTGTCTGAACTGGCACATTCTTGTATTACTTCTTGTCTAGTAAGATACCAGACATCTTGGCCACTTTTCTTTACGGTACAAACTGTTTCATTAACATTTTAAATGAAAAAATTCTGGCATAAATTGTAAAAGAGACCTGCACCTAATAACACAAGTCTCAAAAGGTTAGTCAATAATCATGAGAAAGTTATATATCATCAATAGGCCCATTCTGTTAAACTTATCAAGAGTAGAAAAAATAGCCTTGGTACATTATTATCGTTTATAAATCTCCCAAGAAACCCTCTCTGAGTGTATGTTTATACTTTTTATCCTATTGAAGAGTTGAGGAGCTGGTGTAGGATTCTCCTTAATTATTTGTCTATCACTATATTGATATTTTTTTTCTCAAATGACTACATTTTTTCAGTTCGGTTCTTTTCTACAACCCTCTGGGACATGAGAGAGAGCAAATGGTTGTTGTCTATGTTACCTCCCCTTTCATCGAGGTCCAGTCAGCAGATGGCACCACCGTACAGGCACAGGTAGATCCTGTTTGGGAGTCACCAACTGTCATGGTTCCAAAGAAGTTCAAGGTAAGATTTCTATTTTTGATTTAATACTTGTTGTTTAAATCGATCAGTTATCAGTTACAGCAGCGATGTTATTCCATTGAAAGTGTTGTGTGGTCAATATTTTTATCACATTAAAAAAATCTCTGGAAAGTTTATCTTAAATATTTGTTAAGTTACATACTTAAGTTATTATCTTTTTGAAGTTCCACTAAATAGTTGATGTGTTCAAGAACTTCTGTCACCACAGTAAAGCATTAATGTGTTCTATGTTTCTTTATGAAGATCTGGTTTGTGGTGCGGGTGCCTGCGCTGGGGATTGCCCGGTACACACTGAGGAAAATCCAGCCTGAGGCATTGAAATCCATATCGTTTGCCTCCATTGTTGTCATGAATGTTGTCATCACAGAGCACACCGAGACGTATGTACATTAACATTACACGATGACTTCATGTCAACTTAAAACAGGATAAGTACATGGTTCAATGTTCCATACTTGTGTATTTTTCCAGATGCTGAGATTAAGCCAGTTTGTGCTGACATGGTTTGGTGTCAATGGAAAAGACACTTTACCCTACCATACTGGATTGCATGCATCTGGCCTTCCATAAGTTGTTCATTTAGGTCGCCACTAGCAACTACAAGGAGACTTAAATTTACCCTGGCTGTTCATGGGATGATAAATCCAGCTAGCAAACAAACAATTAAAAATGAATAACAAATGGGGACAATTGTATCAGACATCATAATTTTATTTATAGGTCCAACGAAAAATGTTTTTGGTAATGCTAATCTATAAGGAGAATTAATCAATAACATTATCCATGTCCGTCATGTTCCTTCACGACACATCATGTTCCAAATCAACGTCATAACTTGAAAAACCTAGCAATATTTTTGGTTCATATTTACCCCGATTTATCACAACATTATGTTCTACACCTGATCAGAATCTGGTTTACACAGGAGCAGGAACATTCATGTTTGATAGACATCTGTTTTATCTTAGATTTAAAATTTTTAGTTCTCATGGTGACCTACCGCAATCACCTTCATTTAGCATTGTGCATGTGTGTACATAAACAATTTACTATTGGCGACTTCTCAAAAACCCATGATCAGATTTCAATGAAATTTTGCAGAAACCTTCTACGGCCTAAGATGAACCAAAATTGTTAATTATACAGTACCCACCTTCCAGGGGCCTGAGGGGCAGGGCCAAAAGGGTCAAAATTGACTCGGATTTAAAAAAAATCTTCTTCTCAAGACCCAGATATTGTAGAAGCAAATACTCTTCTTGAATGGAAGCATCCTAAGGTGCTTCACCAAAATTTTGAATTTCATGGCCACAGGGTCTCACATTTCCCAAAGGGGAGGGGGTAAAATTTACTGTAGTACTATAGTAAAACTAGATTTTTAAGCATAATTTGTTTAATTTCCATATGGTAAGAATTATGAGTGAAGGATAATGGCTTGATGGTATGCCCATTTTGATCCTGACTGACCCCATGGGGCTGATGGGCAGGGCCAAAAGGGGTCAGATTGCATTTTGGAGCTGAATGTTGGTTATTTCCCACTGGAAACAACTTTATAAGAATTATCAGTATAGGATGACAGTGTTGATGGTATACATGTATTGTCACTGGTTTACTATATCCATCGTCACAATTTCTGTTGTGACACTTTATTCTTTATATTCAATATTGATTATCTCAGGTGATTGTCGAGGTTGCAAGGCCTCTGGTTTCTCAGATTTATTTGAAACACTTTCATCAAGTATATAGTTTATTTGGAATTTATTTGATTTTTTTCACACAGGTACCCTTTCATAATGAAGATGGAAAAACCAGAAGACTTTGTGTTGGAAAATTCAAATTTGAAGGCTCATATCAGAGGAAAAACAGGGTTTCTACAGGTAATATTGATAGAATGTACAACAGACTCCATATAATCTTACTGGAAAAAGGACATTATCAAGTGAAAATCTTCGATCAGTATGATAAGCACTGGACACTGAAGTCACATAAACCTGACTTTATAAAGACAGGGACTGTATTACAGAGGTATTCACTTAAAACTGCTAATATGTATACTAATATACGAGCAGGTACTTGCCAAGAAATATCCAGTGACTGGTGATCAAATCCCACAACAGTCAACACAGAATGGTTATCTGACTGTCTTTATCACTAGACCTCCACCTCTAGGTTGCAGGTTTTAAGCCTACATCGGACAGTTGCCAGGTGCTGGCAGTAGGTCAATAATTTCTCTCCTGAAACTTTGGGTTTCTGCTGCCACCCACACTTGACATGTCCCTAAATTACCCTGACTTAATAAAACGTAAAACAACAATTAACGATAAACAAAGATTTAACCAACACTTACTGGTTTACCTGTCTGTCAGAATAGATTTTCTGAAATTATCTAAAGTCTTGGCCTACATTTTTTAGAAATTTATATGGAAATAAGAATGATGTGTTATTGATTTCATTGAAATGATTTTATCAGAGTGTGACTACAAAACATGACAATAAAAAACATGAAGCTGAAGTGACTTTCCTCAAGTATGGTACCCGTGGATCAAAAGAGAAAAGTGGGGCTTACCTGTTTATGCCGGACGGCCACGGGAAGGTAGGTTGTTTATGTGAAATGGCCCAGTAAAGGTCAGTTTCCTTTCTTCTTCTGTAAAACATTGATTTTCGTCGGTGATTTATTTTCATTGATTTTGTGGTTACTCTCAAATCTCAAATTAACATGTTCTTGAATTGCTAAAATGATTTTATAAGAATTATTGAGCTATATTCATCCATAAAATCAAGTGTCCATGAAAATTAATTAAAAAAAAACATGAACTTTAAGCCCCTCGAAAGTATGTGATTTTGCAGCTTCATACATGCGATATATTCACAGGAAAGTAAATCGCTTATAATCTTGTTGTCATATGTGGTTATTTTTTTATTTTTGGTTTACAAAATGGAGTCCAGAAATTGGTACTTCTGTGTTGAATGATTTTATTCACAGCTATTGTGATTGTTGTTGTGATTTGTCAAAGTCAATCATCAGTGCCATTATATTGTCTTGTGTTTTCGCTAAAACATTTTTTTATGATTTCGGTTTTCATTTGCAGCCATTAGATGGGGTTATCCCTGTTATAAGAATAATGCGTGGACCTGCTGTGTCTGAGGTTACAGTCTACACACGAAATGTACAACATACGCTACGATTATACAACTCACCAGGTACGCAAAGGCTTTTTACCTTCATTTTTCAGAAATTCAGGTGAGGGGGCAGAGGGGGGAGGGAGTTAATTATGGTTTGTGTCACATTCAGTTTATATTTTATAACATGGTAAAGATACGATCCTTTGTACCCCGGTAAGTAACATAGCAGGACCTGAAAAGACCCTTGGGGACCTCATATACACCCCCACTTTTCACTGTACATAATCTGATGGACCTTGTCGATCAGACAAACATGAATTTACATAAAAAATCTTAGGATTGTCCATTGTGAAAAGGACAGGTCATTTTGGTCAGCTATATCCAGTCTACTTGTTTGAAATCTTATTTTTGACTTTGTGTTTCACTTCCTGGACAATGGCTTTCACCTCTGCATGTTAACCATATAGGATTAATTCACATGAACTTTGAATACATTTGTATGAAGCAGTTTTAACACTATTTTGAAGGTGATACAAATTGTTGGCTCTATTTCCTGGTGAAATGTTGTTAGTCTATAATTTTGGTTGGATTTCAGCTCAGAATTTGTCTGAAATAACAACATTCAGGATAAGTTGATAGATGAACCTTATTTAATGATAAAAGTATCTGTATTTATCCCACTGTTATCTAATGTCTGGTAATAAGCCCGCCCACATCTATTGGAGGGTGGTTGGGTGGCAAAGTGGTAACATACTTGTCTTTAACCTACAAGTCAGGGGTTTGATTCCTTGATTGGACATGACTAGGTATACGGGTGACCTGCCTGATCACGAAGGTTTTCCCCGGGTACTCAGGTTTCCTCCCTCAATAAGACCATACACACTTCTGTCGGGGCCATCAAGAGTGATTTTTATAAGTTGAGTTTGTTTCACAATTGTTGTAAAATAAATAAAGTTTATGTAGTTTAAAACGTAATACCACCTAATGTTATATCATTGTCCTGTGTGAAGCCCATCCCTCTGTGTTAGAGGTAATGTGTTGTCCCCTTGACCTCGTCAGGGATAGTCTTACCAGCTGCTAGTATTCAATTCTAGTATGCTGGAATAAGTTTTACAGGGATATTTGTACATATCTTTAACAGGTACTGATGGAATGGTGGTTGACATGTCTAACCTGGTTGATGTCAGAAAGGAAATGAATTTTGAATTGGCGATGTCTATAGCGACAGATGTAGAAAACACTGACCGCGAGTTTTATACTGATCTTAATGGTTTCCAGGTAAGAGAATTGTGTACACTGTATGTGAGATCATTATTTATATTGTATCGATACAGAAAAGGTTATCAGAGTCATATATATAAATATCTATGTCGTTATTGTAAATTCTACATGAATTTCCTCCTTTTGCGTTTAGTAGATAATAGGGCAATCTCAGCCCAGGACATTAGGTTTTATTCTGAGTATTGAAGGTGATCAGGTTTTATTCTGGGTATTGAAGGTGGTCAGGTTTCAAAAAATATTTCTGTCATGTATAAATCTTTGATAATTGGACAAATTCCTATCCTCTTCTTGTTTTGCAGATGTTAAAACACAAGACTTTTGACAAGTTACCGCTCCAAGCGAATGTATATCCTATGCCAGCCATGGCTTATATAGAGGATGAAACCACTCGCTTTAGTGTCCTCTCGGCCCAGAGTCTGGGAGTGGCTTGCCATTTCAAAGGTAATATTTCTCGTCTTCCGAGAATTTCAGTTGTTATTAAAGAATTGATGTTCGCAAAACATGTTCAAAAATTCTTTGTTCTGAGTGCTTAAATAAAAAGAAAAATTTAAAGAGGAGGGAAGGAAGAAAAATATTTGTTTTGAAATTTTTTATCAGCAGTCAGTCGCACCAATGTAAGATACCAGATGTCAAATCAGCATACAAGTGTACAAGTAACCGAGGTCATTATTTCTTTCATTGCCTCCACTAGAAATCGAACCTGGGACCCTTGGCTTACTAGTCTGATGCTTAACCAGTCAAGCTAAAGAGAAGTTCTCTCTAGCCGAGTGGTATATTGCGGCTAGTATTTTACCAGGGTTACATACATACTACAGCAGGAAGAGGGGTTTTTACTGAACAGTATACCATAGGTTTAGAATATACAAGTCTCCATGTGGAGATGAAACATTCTGTCTACCCAGGCATGTGATCAGTCTGATATCATTTCATATATTTCAGTGACATTGAAGGAATTTCGAGGGGCTTTATGAGAGATAATTTTTTCCGGTGTTAAGGTTTTTCTTTTCAACTACTTATGCTTGAATTCAGTGAGTTTATAGAATGTTGTGTTGAGAACAGATTTGATGCTTGAGAAAGACAATGGTTTGATGGGTACAGGCCCAGATGTGGTCTTCATCACAAAACTTCTGGGGATATTATAGAAAATTAGTGCAATGTTGTTCGTCCTTCTCCAAAATAATTAAATGACAGGAAAGCATGATATTGAATGAATCCTCTACGAGTGATGTACAGTTGTGACTTATAATGTTGTAAACGATTTATTTTGAATCAAACAAATATTTCTGTTACATTTAGGTGATATTGTTGTGATGTTGGATCGGCGCCTCAATCAAGATGACAACCGAGGCCTTGGACAGGGAGTGAGAGACAACAAAGTCACACCAAACAGATTCCATCTGTTGTTTGAGAGTCGAAAGTCTCCGAAGGTAAACACAGCAGAAAATTATAACCATTAATGTTTTTGTTGCCTGTGTACATACAGTAATGTTAAACACCTGAGATGGTGATTTTTTTATCTGAGGAAAATTGAAAAAAAAAAAATATTGACACACATAAACCATAGGATCAAAAAAATATCTTGGTGATCATTGGTCAAATCCAACAGGTCAAAGGTCACACAAGACGCATTTGGGATTTGAAAGAGTAATCGCATACACTTTTTGCTGATAGTAGAGAGGGTTTATATGTTAATTCTGTTTATATTTGATTGTAAATTTGAAATATTTCACTTCCATCTGTTTCACAGCCAAAGGATAAGATGATAGGGTACCCATCTCTACAGGCACATGTGTCTTACCTCCATCTCACCCACCCACTTTTTACCGCTCCGGAAAACATGGATGCACTGACTCATCGTTACTTGCCGACCTTCAGTCCCGTGGATGAGCCACTGCCTTGTGAAGTCCACCTTCTTAACTTGCGTACTCTACAGAACAGGGATGATGATCTAACGATGAGGTATAAACCTCGCAAGGAAGCTGGACTGCTACTACATAGTCTGGGACATGACTGTAACTTTGCCAACAAAGGACTGCTATGTCACTCAAATGGAGGAAAGGTAAGACAATGGATTTATCTGGGGTTGTGGACTCATTTAAAAAAGCATACTTACAGCAAATAAATGATCTTCAAATATTTCAAATTGAGTTTATTTGATTCTGTAGGTTAGTGGAATATTACTGAAAATTTGGTATTTACATACTTACCAGAATGAAAATTGATGATTTTGTATTTTGAATGGATTCCTGATAAATACTGATATACAGAAATTAATATTTAATACTCAAATAAGTGTGAAAGATAGGATTGGCCATGAAATTTTTCCCTTCTCTCTGAAAAATTTATTTCCAATTGAAAAGAAGAAAAAATTAGAAGCTCTCTTCTCCTAACGGTGAAATAACAATTATTGTTGATTCTTTTCATCATTTTCCATCAAACTTACTCTGTTCTCACCGTCAAAGAAGTTTAGTAGATCATGCCGCAAAGGAAGCTTTATCGCTACCACCTGTTGTTTTTAAAATTTATTTTACTGATTTAAAAACCATTTATTAAACATATTTTAAAAGCTCAGTGGCAGGAGGAATGGAATACATATACCAATAAGGAATTGCACTCCGTTAAACATTTTTTATTGGACTGCATTGACTTCTGTCTACTCGAATGTTTTTATCGTAACATTTCATGCCTAAAATCCCTTTTTGAAACTGTTGAGATATGTAAAATTCTACATTACCTAAAAGATGTTGGTCTGTATTATAGACTATGACGTACCATTTTAATCTTTTGTGTTAACATACCCATTTAAAATTTTTAACATTTGTCTTTTACCTTTTGGTTTGTTTAATGTTATTTCCTTTTGGATTGCTGGATGTTTTACCGTTTGATGGCCATAATGACCTTTTATGTGTTGTCGGGCCGTTAAGGTTGTAATAATAATAATAATAATAGTAAACTTTGATTGATGATAAAATTGAATTTCCTCATCAAGATTGTAAACTTTATTTTGATATTTCAATCCTAGCAACAATAATGAAAACCTAGACTAGCAGAAGTCACTAGCTGTCCAGTATATAAATCTTTGATTTATTATTTCAGGTGGTACTGGGAAAGCTGTTCCAGCAAGTGACATTGGACAAGGTCACAGAAACAACCTTGACCTTGATAAAGGAAAAAGAGGAAATAGACAAAGCTGCATCAATAGAATTGAAACCTATGGAAATTTATACATACAAGTTGTCCATACAATGACAGAAGTAACACCCACACTATTATACCTTACTTACAGATCACAGCTAACTCATGTCCATTAGGGCCTCCTTACAGAACAGAGCCAAATTTAGACATTTATAAATCAGCTACTGAGTGGTAATGGTAATTTCAAGGATTTGATAGTGTTGGAGAACACACATATATACATTGTGTATATCTCTTTATAATTTTTCTGTAAAATCAATTTTTTTAAAAATTTGTTTTAATTTTAGTTGATTCCATGGGAATGGCTAAACCACATATATGTTGACAAAGTGACATGAATTTCAGAACTAGTTGATTTCATAAACATAATTTATCCATAAAATCAAGTGCGAAAAAAAAATCACAATTTTCTGAAAAACCGCAAAATTCAATCCCAACAAATATACTTGATCTAACAGAATTAGTTTTAAGGAATTTTGTTCTCAAGTCAATTTGATAGCTTAATCTTGGTATATGAAAGTTGTCCGTACATTTATGTATAAACTCATCCTTGAAAAGGGCTACATTCCATAATGACATACAATTTTAATACGGTGTGTGAATACAGGCCCTTTGGACCTACTGATTGACTTCTGAATTGCCTGAGACAATGATATAACATCTAATAATATTGCTATAGGTGTGGGTGGGCTTATTACAGGACAATGTTAAAACATCTGTTAACATTGCTGTAGATGTGGGTGGGCTTATTACAGGACAGTGATATAACATCTGTTAACATTGCTGTAGATTTGGGTGGGCTTATTACAGTACTCTGGGTTTTTTGACAGATAAATGAGAACTTCAGCTGTAGATATATTTTTATGACTGGTACCTGACAACTTTAGGAGAGAAGTCATTGTGTATAACACTCTGTGTATCTGTGATATAGGTGTCTCCGCTAAAAACACCCAACATTTTGTCACTTTATGCAAATAGTCTCTACCTATATAGTTGGGTTCATGCAAGGCATTGTGACAATAAAAACCAGACACCTAAGGAATAAACATTATTTATACCTTATTGATGAGATGGGGATCTCGACCCACAGGAAAAGACTCAACTAGAGCAGAAGATGTTTGAGGGTGAGAATGTTCAAGGCTTTCTGTTGAATGGTGAATCAACAAACCTTTTATTACAAGCATTTGTCACTTAATATATCTAGAAATATGATTTATTTTGATTTTCTGTTTTGATTAGAATGAATTCTCTCACACGTAGAGATCATGTGTGATTATGTTGATATGTGTAAAATAAAGTAGCAAGGATAGAAAAATTAATCATGTAATTAAATGGCTATAAATAGAAGTCAAATTAAGTATAAAATATAGAAAAATTAATCATGTGATTAAATGGCTTAAAATAGAAGTCAAATTAAGTATAAAATATAGAAAAATTAATCATGTGATTAAATGGCTTAAAATAGAAGTCAAATTAAGTATAAAATATAGAAAAATCAATCATGTGATTAAATGGCTTAAGATAGAAGTCCTATAAAGTAGTAAAGATAGAAAAATTAATCATGTGACCAAATGACTACAAAACAGTAGCCATAACCTATGATGTGATGCTGTTGTGAGTTAATATTTATAGTTGTGAGTAAAACTACAAACATATGAATTGTCACAGGTTGTAGCCCAGTCTGTTAATTCACTCATTGTTTTATAGAGTATACTCAGATGACACAACTACCTGTGCCTTGATTGTAAGTAAGACTTATTGAACTCCTTCCCACCAAAATCTGTTTTAATGTGATTTAATTCTTCAGCAAACATCAAGCAGAATTGTCTCATTGCTTTCTTCATTAAACTTCATATTATGGGAGGTACATATTTTTTATCTAAGGTTTGAACTCATAATATTTCATGTATGTGTAATGGAGATCATTATGGATTTCATTGCCTCTGCTAGGATTCGAACCCAGGACCTCTGGACTACTAGTCTGACGCTCAACCGATTGAGCTAGGAAACAGGGTGGTATATTGTGGCTAGGATTTTACCACAGTTATACGTAGTTATTGTCAGGTTTTACATTCCATTGGTGTACCATGTACACTACTGAGTTTTTTATTTCTTCACAAATATTCTTGTTGAGTTGAAACTGACAGAGTGTCTTGTTAAATAGTTTTTCATGTTGTAATGAAACAGACATGGATACTTTAAAATGTTATATGAATACAATATCATGTGGATCATCAATCGATCATTTCAATGACAGGAATATGCAATTTAAGTTTTTGCCCAAATTATTCTGATGTCCTTTCAATGTTTTAGCATTGGTGTAAAGTCCATAAATACAGAACCATTACAAAAAGGTTGAGGGCACTTCAGACTAGTTAGCATTAGTACAGTTAAACACCGAAGACATGATCATATCTGCTGGTATTATAGATATATGACATAATTGTAATTTTTTTCGTGTGTGTGTGATGGAGGATTATCTTATTGTGTGCATTTAAATCTCTGTGATGATGTACGACAGTGTTAAATGTAAGTCCGGTGTCTGATGATGTCTTGATCTGTAGTCTATTACTATACTGTATGATGTTGGTTAAGGCTGTTATTTGTAGACTAAATAATGGCAATGTTATGCTGACTAGAATTTTGAAATAATGGCAAGCAGGCATTGTTTATAGGAAAACAACCAGTTTGATTTATTTTCATTTTTGTAATTTGATTTATATATTTTGCCTGATGTTTATTTTGTCCTGAAATAAATAAAAATATGTTTATTTCAGCATTTCAGATTTTTGCATTAAACTATAGATTCTCATTTATTTTCACCCGATTACCAAAAAAAAAATTTAGGCTGAAGATTCAGCCCGATAGATTACAAGTGTTTAAATGTACATTGATTCTGAAATCATTAAAGTGAAAATGGCGTGGTATTGCTATAAAGGAAAAAGAAACATGATTGAGGATGATATATACACTAATGTTGTATATGTATAGGTATCACATATCTTTATAGATTTGAGGGGAAATAGAATATTTACAGAGCCATTCAAAGTCTTATAAATACAATAATATAGTTTTGAAGGAAGTCAGAAAATTATGAATGTGATAGGATATTACGATCAGAATTATAGTGAGCTTTTTACAAGGATTGGGTGAGTTGTTATTAAAACTTGTGTGTGATTCAGTCTCCGACATTTTGTTTGAGATGCTATCTGTGTATTGCACAGTTGAAAATAAAAAAAAAAGTGACCCATTTTCACTTTTTACTAGAATCGCTTTCATCATGAAATGCCAGAAGGGTGTTGCCCCACCTTTAGCTTAACTAGTCAAACTTTCTGTCACAAGATGCAGTCTGTTATCAGATATCTTTATTTTCAATGATGTTTAAGAATCACTATGAGAATCACATGCCAAAAGTTTTGGTAGGAAGCATTCCTAATTGTTTGGATAAACTTACTATGTCAGGACTTTACCTAGGTTCAGGTTTGTTTAATTGATATGGTATCTTAGAGTTATAAAACAAAACACTAATCATTATATTAATCTTCAGGTGAATGACAGAGTGAACAGACAATAAGCTGATGTTTGTAACATAGATTGAACAGACAATAAGCTGATGTTTGTAACATAGACTGAACAGACAATAAGCTGATGTTTGTAACATAGACTGAACAGACAATAAGCTGATGTTTGTAACATAGATTGAACAGACAATAAGCTGATGTTTGTAACATAGATTGAACAGACAATAAGCTGATGTTTGTAACATAGATTGAACAGACAATAAGCTGATGTTTGAAACATAACTGAACAGACAATAAGCTGATGTTTGTAACATAGACTGAACAGACAATAAGCTGATGTTTGTAACATAGACTGAACAGACAATAAGCTGATGTTTGTAACATAGACTGAACAGACAATAAGCTGATGTTTGTAACATAGACTGAACAGACAATAAGCTGATGTTTGTAACATAGACTGAACAGACAATAAGCTGATGTTTGAAAACATTAAAAAATGCTGTTATTTATTAGCCTTCACATAAAAGTGCTTCTGTGCTTCTTTGTCATAATCATTTTCTGAAACATCTTATAAACATGAGGCCAAGGTTTCTAATATTCTACATGTGTAGTTTAATTCTTGAATTAATTCAGCTATCAATTTTGTATGAATAACATTGAACTATTGACAGGGCAGCTTCACAAACCAATTGTGTTCTACGATACAAGATGACTATTGTATTGAACTTTGTTGGCTTGCACAGTTGTCAAATTCTTAGAAGTTAAAAGTTTGTAAAATTTTACAATCTGTTTCTTCTCAATAGAAATGTAATTATGCTCTAGTAGTGATATTGACTGTGTAGTTTGGTGATGTAAAGATCTATATCATTTGTGTTCAGATAAATCTACATTAGTCATATTCAAGATTACAGAGAGAAAAATAGTGTAAAATTGCTACAATATCCCTGTAATGGATCTGGCCTCATTCTATCAGTATGATTTGGTCATGGTGGGAAATGTGAGAAAGGTACCAAAGCCTCGACATCAAGGAAAAATTCTAATTTGTTTGTTTATTTCTAAGCTGTACCTGGGATAGATAGATAGTGCTATAGATATGTTTAAATGATTATTTTATAATCAAAGGACACAGATGTTTTCCGGTCGAACCTCGTTATCTCGAAGTCAGTGGGACTATGGGAAAAATTCGAGTTATCAAAATATGATCGAAGGTTTAATGTAAACTTTGACTGGGACTCAAAATACTTGAAATGATACAGGGTCTTTGATTTATAAGAGATTGAGATAATGCAATTCGACTGTATTTAATATATTTACATTTAATGATAATACGTTGTACATGTATTGTTAAACCAAATTCTTCATATTGCACTTAAAAATGCTCATTATTGGAAGCTTAATAGAAATAGCAGCTTACTAATAATTCTTAAAAGAAATGAAATGGTTATTTTTAACTTTTCATTGTTTAGATATATTGCTGTACAAATACAGCATGACTATAAATGATATTGGTTTTCTTTTCGATCTGTCTGAAAT